CACACACACACCGTTGGCTGTACACCTCCCTCGTTTGATCATATAGGGTCCCGACAAACATTTCCAAGTCTCTAGAGTGGTTTTCCATCACTTATAGTGGTGAAATACCTTCATTTGACTCTTTTATGTGTCATTGCGTGATAATTAGGATCGAATCGTGATTAAGGCTTCACTTGAACACCCAGCTTTCTGTATCGATCCTTCAATCAAACCACTCGCTCGAGGTGAGTTCATACCCCTACATTTTCTGTATTTTTAATGTTTTCAGGGGGGGAATACAAGCTAAACATAAATGTTTTCAAAACTCATGAAATTCTCATACTTTAACCCTTTTGTACTGTGTTGAGCATAAGGGACGTTTTCACTAAACTTGCATGATTTTTCGGACTCGCTATTCACTACGTTTTACATGCAAACTATAATCGGTATAGTTTGGGGATTTTCTAAACATAACAAGTATAGAAACCTTCACTACTCAACGTATGCACTAAGACAGAAATAGTTTACAGTTTGCATCACTACTTTATCGCGTTTTCATAACTGTAATTATCACTACAAACGGTATACATTCGGATTTTCACTACGGTAGAACGCTACTACACTACATGTAAACTAGATTGTACGATACTGTGAGGTGCTACTTCACTACTGTACCCTTAGGTGTACAGGGATAAATCCTATCATAGTATAACCAGAGTCTCCTGGAGGGAGAGCGTAAGATTTGTGAATAGATCTATTCGGGACTGACAATCCGACACCCGAACTGCTAGCTACAGTTGGGAAGGCATGCCCAGGGTGACAAATGTCATTTAACTCGACGCCTGAAGAACGTTGGAAAGGTCTCTAGTCATATCAAGTATGGTTATACGACTCACATTATCTATAATTCACCCTTTAGTTTACAACATGTCACCCTTCAACAGTTTTATTTATACTAAATAGAACTAACACACTACGTATAAAGGCTGAAGCCAGGGTTTTCAACCAAAAAATCGTTTATGCAAGGATTTCATATACAATATACTTATACTTCATGATTAGCCTTAGCTAGTCACATGAAGTAGTATTTTCACATATCACTACAGTTTTCAGTAAGGAACATTCATGGTTTATATGGAACGGATAACGCTACATTTTTCACTTAAAGAAAGTATCGGATTTTCTTGACGCTATACAAAATAGTTTTACGAGCTCATCAACAAGTTTTCATTACAAACTACCGCTTATGAACTCACCAGCTTTATGCTGATATTTTCAAACTGCTTGTATTCTCAGGAAATCAGTAGACAGGTACCTGCTGGGTTTTTGAGAAGCTGGAGCAATAAGAGTCTTATGTTTATATTTTATATATACTCTCTGATGTAATTCAAACAAGTTTCAAATTGATGTAAACATCTTCATATATGTATAGACTGTGATGGTTGTGTTGATATGGTTGCTATTTTACATTGGTTGTGATGCTATACATGACGTCCTCCGCCCCGGAACGATTCTGCCATCACGGTTTCAGGGTGTGACACTCGGGATGACTGCATTGCACACACCATGATGCTTAGCCTGGGATGTTTGCTCTGATGCTTTTGATTTGGAAACTCTAATGATAATGTTTTGAGATACTTTAATGTTTCGATAACTATGGTTTTATTTAATAAGTAAAAATGAAATTTTTGGGACCATATTTTATGAGTGTTACATTATGTATCTCTTAATAAACGACACAAGGTAAAGTTACATATAAAATAACAAAACCCGTTATAAAAAGAGGACATTTGCCCACCGTTTTAGGCTGTCGCACTACTTGTCACTTTTTTTTATGTAAAAGCGACGTTAATGTGTGAAGTCTGATGTGCAATGGTGACTCGTTTTCAGTAAACTATCATGGAAAACAATCATGTGAATTAGTTTATGACCTTTAGTGATGAGATAAATGAAAACCGAGACCATCTAGTTTTCAAAAACCGAAGTTATAGCCTAGTTTTGTACAAGTGCAAGACAATATGTCTTTAGTGTATTCCTTAACCTACACATACATTAGAGCTCTCATCTTCTTACATGTTGTTTCATCGTTTTCCATCTTAATACTCACGTTCGATTAAAAAAACTCTAGATGGTGTTGTATTTCTATGGCGGAGTGGTAATTTTATGCGCTTTGTGGACATCAACCAACCATGGTTGCATATTTCATGCTTTCCCTAAAGAGATAAATGCTTTTTAAAGCATTTTAGTACTAAAAAAAATAAACGTAATCTCACGTTTTCTTATTTTTAAGGCTTGCAAAATGGGGTTTCATAAGATGGATTTGATCATCCACTATGTGCAAGATTTGTTGTGATAATACCAGGTTTACTGAGAAGCATCAACAACTACAAAATTTTTATCAACAATCTGAATGAAGAATTAAGAAAATGGAAATTTTATTTGTTTACAAGTTAGGGATTTTTTGTTGCTGTTTTGATATTTAGTTGGGATCAGGAATTGAGTATTATTTTTACATTTTGGTATTAGGTTTGTAAAATTGTCTTGGAATCATGTAGGTATTATTTTTGTTACAAGGATTATGGATTCGGGGTTCTTGTATGGTTTTTGGGAGGTCAAATATGAGTACTTTTAGTCATTTGCAAACATGTTGTAACCCCTCTGATATTGGTAATGAAAAATTTGTCCATTGACAGTTTGTGTATCAAGTTTATGTATGTTAAAAATATATGCAGCCTTTAGTTCAATAAATCTGCTATGACATTACAAATGACCATAATAACATAATGACAATTTGTGACCTATATGCAATTATATTATTGACAAACTATTGAGCAATGTAAATCGGTATACCATATGCATTGGATACATCTTTTTTTATCCCTAAAAAAAGGTCAAAGTTCTCAAAATCGTGTATAAGATTTTGTTCTACCTCATAATCACATTGGTACTCTACTTAATCATGTTGCACATTCACTCCATCTATCAATGGAACATAATCCATATGTATAATAGCGTTAACATTATTTTCTCAAGAAATGGTTCACCTAAATCCATTGGTTCAACCTAATTAGTAACTTCATAAACATATCCACTAACAGCTTCATTTATACCCCTTCTTACTTGATGATCATTATCAATTATGGTGTTGTCAACCCAATCCAAGCAAAAATAAGTAAATTAGTTTTCCTGTGTTCATTATATGCCTTCATGATTTTAATCTTCTTAACATATTTTGCAAGATTTAGTACATTAATATCGTTTCCTAATGCTCTTAGTCCGAAGTCCAAGTTAGAGTTGGGCAATCTAAAGTTGTAGCAAATAATTGGTGTTACCGTATAACCTAGTTCTAGCATTATCATACCAAATTTGTGAATAGAGAATTCATCTACATCAACTAAGTCTATATGCATCTTATTGAGCCTTTAATGTATCTAACACATAGAATATTTATGATGTTCCATCATTATGGACCTCAATGGTGAAGATGGTGGGATAATCTTCTATAAAAAGCACACAAAAAATAAACAATGTTATTTTGTGTCTTCGGAGATGTTTTTAAGGTTTTCAAAGTACTTAAAGGAAGCATAGCACAGTTTTTCATATGTAGTCCTTCATCAAAAGCTTGATGGATTGGCCTAAGATACCAGTCATACCACGTTGTCAATATATCATTCTCGCAGGATATGTAGATACTAGCAAGACCCTATGAACGATTGTGGGTTTTTGTTTAGGGTTTTTGTTTAGGGTTTCCTCAATAATTGAGCGGGTTTAGAAGAGAAGAAATGGACAGTCAACTCCAATTTAGGAATCATAAATGTGATATTAAGGTTTTTTTTTTGATGAATTGAAGGTAACGCATCTACATGAGAGAGACAAGAAAAAAAAAACTGCCCCTGCCTTGGAGGCATGTTGTACACTTAATGAGCATTTTTAAACGTCTAAAATACTTTGAGGGACCAAAGTGACACAAAATGATCCAACTTTGGGCCAATCGAAAAAAATGGACTTGAAATAATAGAAAATCACAAACTACATGGGCCTTTTTGCAGTATTCTCTCAACAAACTAAGGAAAGATAAGAAGGCCATCTTACTTTAAATTTGAAATAAACAAAAGAGAAAATTACAAATTTAGCCAAATATATTAATTATTTCGTGGAAAATAGCCAAAAAAAAACATAAATTACAAAATTAGCCCTTAAAATCGCAGATGGATTAAGTCCATCTGTGATTTCGCATTTCCATCTGCAAATGTACAAGTGCCTAAAGCACATCTGTGCTTTAGGCACTTGTACGTTCGCAGATGGAACAGTTCATCTGCGATTTTGTGTATTCCATCTGTGATTTCGTAGAGATTTAGTATAAAAACGTTTTTTTTTTCATTTTTTACTATATTTTTTAGAGAAACTCTCTCTCCCACCAGTTAGAAGACAAACCAAATATTTATACATTTTTAGAGAGGTTTTAAACAAATTTTCCAAAGAAATAACAACAAAAATAATAATTTCTTGAAAACATTTATATATAATAAGGTTGTTTCGTAGTCAAACCCTATCAATTTCGTAGTTTAAAAAAAAACATAAAATCGCAGGTGAAAACGAGAGGAAATCGCAGATGGACTATGTTCATCTGCAATTTTATGCTGGAAAAGGAGTATATATACATCGAAAAATAAAAAAATTAAAAACCATCTGTGAACGTACAAGTGGCTAAAGCACAGACGTGCTTTAGCCACTTGTACGTTCGCATATGGGAAGGCGAAATCGCAGATAACTTATACCCATCTGCGATTTTAGTGGCTAAAAATGCAATTTTGATTTTTTTGGCTATTTTCCACAAAGTAATTAGTGTATTTGGTTAAATTTGCAATTTTCTCTAAACAAAATAATTAAAATAAAGCAGAAATAAAGAGTCAAAATTACGTTTCAATAATTATTCCGAAAATCCATCAACAAACATGATTTCTCCATCTCACCCACATTTATATTCTAATTTCTCTCACTTCCTCAACATCTTTCGTTATATATATATCTATAAACACACACAGTCACACACACATTGATCATCTTTCATCGAGTGAGAACATTTCGAGAGAAAAAATGGCAGCTTCTTCTACTATTGTGTGTTTTGGAGAGATGTTGATCGATTTCGTACCCGACGTGGCTGGAGTCTCTTTGGCTGAGTCTCAGGGATTCCTTAAGGCCCCAGGTGGTGCTCCCGCTAACGTCGCTTGTTCCATTGCAAAGCTAGGTGGCTCCGCCGCTTTTATCGGCAAGGTACTTATCATAATAATTTTAATATATTATTTTAATCGATGTGGATTCCATCGATCAATGTTGTTCTTGAATGATTTAGAATTTAGTGGACATTTATGGATCAATGGTTTTAGGGAGTGATCAATGTTCCTATTTTATTATACAAAATTGTTTTGCATGTAATAATTGCACAATGGACAAGATCCCCCAAAATGCATTATGATTAATTTAAAAAAAGCGACAGATCTACTACTACACTAACGTCTATATGAATCAAAGTTGTTGTTGGATGACTTATAATCTAATGCACATATCTAAGGATCAATGGTTTTACGTAGTGATTATTGTTTTATTTTTATTTCTGTAAAAGTTGTTATCCATCGTTCATCTATATGAGTTTAATGCTGTTCTTGGATGATTTATAAATTTACGGACATTTATGGATCAATGGTTTTACGGATTAAATTTTGCAAATTGGACATTAATGGATCAATGGTTTTCTGGCGTAATATTTTGATTTTTTAAATGAATATAGGTATCTAGAAACTTTAATATGAAATAAGAAAAAAAAGTATATATAATATATTGTGATTGATGTAAAGTGCAGGTTGGGAAAGATGAATTTGGATTCATGTTGGTTGACATTATAAAGAAAAACGGAGTGAATGCTGATGGTGTGTTGTTTGACGAGCATGCGAGGACAGCTTTAGCATTCGTGACACTTAAGAAAGATGGTGAAAGGGAATTCATGTTCTATAGGAATCCTAGTGCGGACATGCTCCTAAAAGAATCCGAGCTTAAAATGGACATAATCAAGAAAGCCAAGATCTTTCATTATGGCTCCATCAGTCTCATCACCGAGCCATGCAGATCTGCTCACATGGCGGCCATGAAGGCCGCCAAGCAGGCTGGGGTCTTGCTTTCTTATGACCCCAATGTCCGCCTTCCCTTGTGGCCTTCTGCTGAGGCCGCCAGGCAAGGCATCAAAAGCATCTGGAACGAAGCTGATTTCATCAAGGTAGTTTATTATTGACACTATGATATTTCCTTTGCAAATGACAAATTTACAATGGATCTTCTCGTAGCTGGTTATTGATACTATGAATTTTATTTGTTTTGGTTTATGGGTGTGAAAAGACGAAATTGCCCTTTTATGTGTAGGTGAGCGATGACGAGGTGGAATTCTTGACACAAAAGAAATCTGATGATGAAGAAGCCGTGAAGAGTTTATGGCATGATGGTCTTAAGCTTATGGTTGTTACGGATGGCGAAAAGGGTTGTCGATATTACACCAAGGTATGTGAAAAATTGCATCTCAGTTTTTTTTTTTTTTTTTTTTTTTTTTTTCATTTTGCTTTTAATACGACATTAATTTATTCACAAATGTTATTTTGTAAACTATTTCCAATGAGTGTAGAGCTTCAAGGGAAGAGTGCCCGGATACTCCGTGAAAACTGTGGACACAACAGGAGCCGGAGACTCTTTCGTAGGCTCGTTACTTGTTTCTATGGCCAAAGACACTTCCATTTTCACGGTAAGAAGAAATCCATTTCGTTTCACAGGTTTTGATAGAATTGGCATGTAACATATTTATTATGATTCGTTCATTCTTTCCAAAAAAACGAAACACGTACCCTAAAATCTAAACACTGGTTCTTTTATTTTTTCAATAAATGTAGGATGAAGCGAAGCTGAAGCAGGCACTAGCATTTTCGAATGCATGTGGGGCGATATGCACAACAAAGAAAGGAGCCATCCCTGCACTACCTTCCGTATCCGATGCCCAATCTCTCATGTCCGCTTCCAAGTAGAGAATAAAAACCCTACGAGATTGTTTTGTTTTTTTGCAAGATTGTTTTGAATGGTTTCTTAGTTTTTTAGATCGTTTTTTCTTGGTTTAAACCAATCGTTTCTTAGGTTATTGATTTGAAAAGGCCACGTGTTTGTTTGGACCTTGTTTTTGTTTTGTTTTGACGATTCAAAAGGTAAATAACAATATCTTGTTCTGCAATCATAACAGAACAAGCTTATTATTTTCGGCCCATATCCCATCCAAAACGGATGGGCTTTTTGTGAGTGTTGATGTAATCATGATTGCTGGATCAATATTTGTTACTACAAGTTGTTGAATGTTGTTGATATTGATGTTTAATGTAATGAAAGAATATTTGTTCGACAACAGACTTCTACAGCTAAAACAAATTTGCAAGAACAAATTCAACTTAAACCTTGTAAAAACAAAAGGTAGTGTTTGTCTCAAGGTACTTTACTAGACTGGAATGGAGTAAGATTTGACAACTTTTTATAGTGTCAGCGACAAGTCATGAGGGCATTTACGTCTTTTACACATGCGAGAAAGATCAAAATCGAGTTTCATTGGAAAAAAAAATTACAATTACAATATGTCAATATAACCTTGGTCTCTAGAAACAATAATATGTAAAACACTAAAAATGGGCCAATAACTCATCATTTCCAAAGCTTATTTGTACAATGTACAATAAAACAAGAATGTTAGTTACATATATGTTTTTTCCTTTGTTTTTCTCTTTTTACAACCTCATTTCTTTTTATCTCTATCGACTTAAAACCGAATTGGATGTTATTATTCTGTTGTACAAGGAGACGGAGGTAGGTATAATTACACCACACCGGTTCTTGTTCGGGCTTTTACAAATGAGAAAAAGGTCTAATTCTTGTTAAACTGTTACATGCTCATGGCTTTTGATGAGGTTTCTTCTTCTCCTTCCACCAATTGCCCATCAGCTTCCTGCATTCACCACAAAAGTTCATTTCAGATAAGACTCCATTTAAAGTAAAAAAGATGTGTGAATTCCATACCATTTGTTCTTTAGATCTTGTTTTTGCAAGATAATTTTCTAACGCACCATCACCACGGAGTATTTTTCCCCCACATCCTGATAAATAAGAATCTACTGACCCAACTGATTCCTCATCAATCACAACCACATCAACTCGATCGTTTCCTGTCTTGGTATCGGGAATCTGATTTTGTTTTTTTTTTAAGAAAAAGAAAAGGAATATTTTTATTGACATTTATGGTGAGTAAATGACGAAAAAGCCCTGCACTGCATACCTCGTACATAGAGTCGGTTAGAAGAGTTTCGAGTATGGCTCTTAACCCTCTTGCACCCGTGTTCTTGGCCATTGCCTTTTGAGCAATTAATCTTTGTGCCTTTTCTGTGAAATGTAGTTTCACCTACAGTTCACCAAACATAATTAATTACCAACAAACTAAACTAAGCTGAAATGTATTTTTTTTTTTTAACTTAATAGACTTTATACAGACAGATCATCTTTTCTTTTCCTATTAAATGTTGTATGAGAAAAAAAAAAAAAAGACTTTCTTTTTTCAACTGAATGAAGTGCTTACATCGTTCATCTGAAACAATTTCTTGTATTGCTTCCCGAGAGCATTCTTCGGTTCCATAAGAACCTGTCATACAAGTAAATCATCAAAATAATACTCCAATAATTAAGTCTTTGGGTTGTGAAAAGAATAAAATCCTAAAACAAAATTAAACAGAGAATTTTTGAGTGATAAAGCATACCTGAACAAGTTGATCTTCGGTTAGAGCAGACAAACTTACTAAAATTGGAAATCGTCCTATGAACTCGGGTATGAGTCCATAGGCTATAAGATCACTACTTTCAACCTGAAAACAAAAAGGATAAAACCAATATATAATTAATTCCTCATTATCAGAAAGAAAAAAAAAATTAAAAAATAAAGACATTTGCGGCTTACAGATTCAAGTAAAGATGATGTGACTGCAGCATTTGTGAGTGCACTGTTTCTCATGTTAGCACGAACAGGTGCTCCAAAACCTATTGAAGAGTCCTGCTGTCTGAAATTAAAGAAAAAAAAATGATTTTACATTTAAACCCTTCAACTTATAGTTGTTATATAAAGACTTGAATGCATTTCCAGTCACAAATTTAATTACCAAAAAATAAAGACTTGAATGCAAGAAATAGCAACGCACTTTGATTGATTAGCTACATTCCTACCTTGAACATTATATTTTGGAAAATCTGTGGATTATATCAAATGTCATCCGGATAGAAAGCAATTTTTACTGTTGTAATTGGGTGAATGTTTTAAAGTGGGTCTTGATAACTAAAAAAGATTGAAAGTACAGTAGTAGATTTTTCATAGTAACATAGATTAATAAGAAAAAAAAAGAAATCAAAGTAGAAATGAATATAGGATATGTTGCTATTTCTTGCACTTAGCCCAGAAAAAAAAAACAAACGTACGGATTTGGATTCACCTCTCGGATATGGTTTTCTCCAAATCAACAAATGCGCCACCACAAATGAAAAGGATGTCCTTTGTATCTATCTGCAAGTAACTTTTACTCATTAGATAAAGTAATAGTCTTATAATATTATCAATTTATTAACAAGCTTAAGCACAAGTGATTTAGTCACTGCAAACCCCATGAATGATAACACAGCTTGGCAGAGTCAGCCCTTTGATGACCTTGCTATGCTATCGTATGCGTATGTTTCCTCCCTCATTTATTTTTCCATTTTCACAAGTATTTTTTAAATACTACTAGTGTTATTTATCCAGACAACACTCAATGCAAAAAGACCAGGACCCATTAAGTTCCAACTTTTTATAAAACTTCCATCTGTATGCTGTCATTTTTCTTAAACGTTTATATCACAAGTTTATAGGAAACAGGCTATGCATGATAAGTTTTTTTGATGATGCAATTACGCCATAAGTAAGAAAGAGTAGGCATGCACATGGAGGGCTATATATAATAGGAAATCAATGCAAGTACATCATAAGAATCATGTGCCTTTACTGTACCTGAATGTTATCACCTCTAGGATGCTTCCTCGCCCCCTTTTCAGGCACGTTCACTATCTGCAGAAAGTTAACCTTTTCAAATGGAATATAATTACAAATATTCATTCAAGAATGCAGTGAGTGATATGTGTTTAAGTCGTAACTTTTTTACAAATTTATCATACAAACAACCAAAACAAAATGAAGCTAGTTACTTAGAACAAATGCCTTCAGAATTACAAGTAGTGATGTGTTTGATGAAGTCATATTATTATTATTATTATTATTATTATTATTATTATTATTATTATCATCTCTTGAATTCGGTAAATCAACGAGAAATATCAATTGATTGATTTTTTGCCAATTTATCACAAATATAATAATGGCTTACAGTTCCTTCCAGCATCTTAAGTAGAGCTTGTTGGACTCCCTCACCAGAGACATCTCTGCTAATGTTTAAGCTCTCAGCCTGTCAATTTATATCAAAACTTTCACATCTCAAAAAAGCATGCAAAACTCAGGATCACAAAAAAGTAATTGACTAAAACCTTTTTGGTTATCTTATCAACTTCATCAATGTAAACCATCCCTTGTTGTGCAGCTTCAACATTGAATTCAGCAACCTTGAAACCAAATGGAAACATTATATATCAATTTCAACTCTGTCTGTGGATCCAAAATCACAAAAAAATTATTTAAGTTTTCATCTCTCATCTGCTATCAACTGACTAACAATATAAATCAGAAAATAAGAACAAAAGCTTCACTATATTTGATTAATCTAATCACTCAAAATGAACAAAAACCCCTAATGCTTGCTAGAGAGTCGAGAGCCTAGCCTCTCCCAAAGGAATAACTTCCAGTTTCTCATCTGCTATCATTCTCTCTACTCCTATATAAATAAGTATTCTGCATAACCACTACATTAAAATAAATGCCCCTGCACTAAAACTAAAAGATTCTCATTATTTGTTTAGTTTGCCCACAATACCCTTTTCTATAATAACCTGATGCATAGCATTTACATTGCCAAACACTATAGAAGAATGATAGCAGTTTGCCATGATAAAACCAAAGAAGATATGAAAGAAGTTTGGGCCAAAAAGGGAAAAACACATAATGGAAATGATAACAGAAAGAGAAATTTAATTGGGTTGTTAAACTCATGAGTCTCAACTTCTTGGTCAATGAGATAGAAAAAATAATAATAAGAAGAAGCGGTTATACAATCAATATATATATATAATATATATATATATATATATATATATATATATATACTGCAGTACCGTAAGTAGCTTGTGCAATATAGATTCCACGTCATCACCAACATAACCAGCCTGCATAAGCCATAATGTAAAAAACACATAAACCACTTTCGATTGAACAGTGTATACATAATGAGGGTTAAAAGCACATTATGCAAACACTTTTTTTTTCCTGATTTATGCAACAAGTGGTTTTTTTAGAGGAAATACGCAATCAAGTTTCTTCAAGGACCGAAATATGCAACACTATAATCAGTACCATAATATGCAACCACGATTCATTCCATAAATGTTTATTTGTCTCACTCTTTTTACCAACTTATGCAACAATCTTTCACTTTTTTACCAATTTATGCACTAGTGTTTGACCTTTGTACCACTGTAAGCAACAATGTTTCGCCTTTTTACCAATTTAAGTAACATGGTTACACTTTGTTATAAATTTATGCCACAATGCTTCAGTTTTTTAACCAATTCAGTTTATGCAATCGACACATATTATTGAACAACACTTTGAAAGGTTAAACAGGTTACCATTTATTGCATCATTTGGTCCTAAAATGAAATGGTGTTGCGTATTTTGTATAAAACCCACTTTGTTGCATAATTTGGGGAAAACCATAAATATACATTTAACTCTATATATAATAATGGAAACAGAAATCTACACATTGGGTTTCACTTTTCAGTCCATTTCCACAAAAAGCAATATAAATAAATATATCAGCAACTGACTGACCTGTGTCAAGGTGGTTGCATCAGCAATGACAAATGGAACATTAACAAAACGAGCTAGAGTCTTTGCAAGTAATGTCTTCCCTATTTCACAAAAGTCATAGAAGCATAATAAACAATA